CATCTATGTTCATCAGGAATATTGGTCTGTAATTTTCTTTTATTGTGGTGCCTGCCTGGTTTTGGTATTAGAGTGATGCTGGCCTCATAGAATGAGTTTGGAAGTATTCCCTCTTCTACTCTTTGGAAAACTTTAAGGAGGATGGGTATTAGGTCTTCACTAAATGTTTGAAAAAATTCTGTGGTGAAGCCATCTGGTATGGAAGTTTTGTTGTTAGGTAGTTTTTTGATTACCAGTTCAATTTCCTTGCTGGTAATTGGTCTGTTCAGATTTACTGTTTCTTTCTGGATCAGCCTTGGAATGTTGTATTTTTCTAGAAAGTTATCCATTTCTTCTAGGTTATGCAGTTTGTTAGCATATAATTTTTCATAGTATTCTCTTATAATTCTTTGTTTTTTTGTGAGGTTCATAGTGTTTTTTCCTTTCTGATTTCTGATTCTGTTTATGTGTGTAGACTCTTTTTTTCTTGATAAGTCTGGCTAGGGGTTTATCTATTTTGTTTATTTTCTCAAAGAACCAGCTCTTGTTTTCATTGATCCTTTCTATTGTTTTATTCTTTCGATTTTATTTCTGTTCTAATCTTTATTATGTCCCTCCTTTTGCTGACTTGCGGCCTCTTTTGTTCTTCTTTTTCTAGTTTCATTAATTGTGAGTTTAGACTGCTCATGGGATTGTTGTTCTTTCCTGAGGTAGGCCTGTATTGCAATATACTTTCCTCTTAGCACAAGGCCTTCAGTGCGTCCCACAGATTTTGCAGTGTTGAATTATTGTTGTCGTTTGTCTCCATATATTGCTTGATCTCTGTTTTTAGTTGGTCATTGATCCATTGGTCATTTAGATACATGTTGTGAAGCCTCCATGTGTTCGTGGGATTTTTCATTTTCTTTGTGTAATTTATTTCTAGTTTCTTACCTTTGTGGTCTGAGAAACTGGTTGGTACAATATCAATCTTTTTGAATTTACCTAGGCTCTTTTTGTGGCCTAGTATATTATCTATTTTTGAAAATTTCCATGTGCACTTGAGAAGAATGTGTATTCTGCTGCTTTTGGGTGTAGAGTTCTGTAGATATCTGTTAACTCCATCTGTTCTAATATGTTGTTCAGTGCCTCTGTCTCCTTACTTATTTTATGTCTGGTTGATGTGTCCGTTGGAGTGATTGGTGTGTTGAAGTCTCCTAGAATGAATGCATTGCGTTCTATTTCCCCTTTTAATTCTATTAGTATTTGTTTCACATATGTAGGTACTCCTGTGTTGGTGCATAGGTATTTATAATGGTTCTATCTTCTTGTTGGATTGACTCCTTTATAATTATGTAATGTCCTTCTTTGTCTCTTGTGACTTTATTTGTTTTGAAGTCTATTTTTTCTGATACTAGTACTGCAAGTCCTGCTTTTTTCTCCCTATTAGTTGTATGAAATATCTTCTTCCATCTTTTCTTTGTATGCCTTTGGGTTTAAAGTAAATCTCTTGTAGGAAGCATGTAGATGGGTCTAGTTTTTTAATCTATTTAGTGATTCTATGTTCCCTTCCATCTATAGCAGTCCCTCCAAAATACGCTGTAGAGATGGTTTGTGGGAAGTAAATTCTCTCAACTTTTGCTTATCTGGAAATTGTTTAATCCCTCATTCAAATTTAAATGATAGTCTTGCCAGATAAAGTATTCTTGGTTCGAGGCCCTTCTGCTTCATTGCATTAAATACTTTGTGCCACTCCCTTACTGGCCTGTAAGGTTTCTGCTGAGAAGTCTGATGATAGCCTGATGGGCTTTCCTTTGTATGTGATCTTATTTCTTTCTCTGGCTGCTTTTAAGAGTTTGTCCTTATCCTTGATCTTTGTCATTTTAATTACTATATGTCTTGGTGGTGTCTTCCTTTGGTCCCTTGTGTTGGGAGATCTGTGCATCTCCATGGCCTAAGAGACTATCTCCTTTCTCAGATAGGGGAAGTTTTCAGCAATTACCTCCTCAAAGACACTTTCTTTTCCTTTTTCTCTCTTTCCTTCTCTTACCCCTATAATGTGAATATTGTTCCATTTGGATTGGTCACACAGTTCTCTCAATATAGTTTCATTCTTAGAGATCCTTTTTTCTCTCTGTGCCTCAACTTCTTTGTATTCCTCTTCTCTAGTTTCTGTTTCATTTATCATGTCCTTCACTATATCTAATCTGCTTTAAATACCCTCCATTGTGCTCTTCCATGATTGGATCTCCGACCAGATTTCATTCCTGAGTTCTTGAATATTTTTTTGTACCTCCATGAGCATGTTAATGATTTTTATTTTGAACTCCCTTTTAGGAAGATTCATGAGGTCGATGTGATTTGAATCTTTCTCAGGAGTTGTATTCATAATTTTACTTTGAACCAGGTTCCTTTGGCATTTCATATTTGTATATGGCACCTTCTAGTGCCCAGAAGGTCTACTCACTGGAGCTTCTCAGCTGGTGATGCAATGTCGGGGGTCACAGGGGAGTTGTATTGGTGCCTGAGGGGAGGAAAGAGCTGTTCCCTGCTTCCCGGCCACTCTGCCTGTCTCCACTGCCTGAACCAGTGGACTGAGCACACAGGTATAAGCCTCTATGCTTTGTGTTTGTAGTTGCTGTAGACAGGTCTTCCCTCTGGCTGAGCTAATGCCAGGTAGGGTTTGCTGCTTTGAAAGCCAGGTGGGGCTGGCCAGGGGAAGGGTGCATTAGGCTGCATATCACAAAGGGGTTCCTTGGAGCTGTGTAGCCAGCCAGGGAGCTGGAGTGCCTGAAGATCCTGTAAGCTTCCAACCTGCTGGGCAGAGTTCACCCAGACAGTTTTGTCAATCTGTCTTTTCTCCTGAGCAGTAAAGTCTGTGCAATCTTTTCCCCTTTAGCAGCCCTTTTGCTGTTAGGAAGTCTCTCAGACTGCCTGCCTTTCTTTTGTCCCAGAGCAACCAGATATGAATCTCTGCTTTCCACAAGCAGCTGAAATCTCAGTCTCTAGGAATTCTGCCTGTCTTAGCTTTCCAACCCCCTAATCACGAGACTACCATGTAAGCACTGTGTAATGTAGGTTTGTACTCCCAGAGCAGATCTCCGGAGTTAGGTATTCAGCAGTCCCAGGCCTCCACTCCCTACCTGCTCCATTTGTCTTCCTCCTGCCTGTGATTCGGGGTGGGATAAGGGCTTGGGTTCTGCCAAGCCAGAGCTTTGGTACGTTACCCTATTCCATGAGGTTTACTCTTTTCTCCAAGTGTATGCAGTTTGGTGCAGTCCTCTTTCTGTTGCTCTTTCAGAATTAGTTGTATTAATTACATTTTCATATTCATTCAGTTTTAGGAGGGAGCCTCTGCCTCACCTCTCACGCCGCCATCTTCAATCCTCTTCACTATGCTTTGTATTTCTAACATTTTCACCTGCTACTTCTTTATATATGTAAATTTGTTATTAGTCTTTTTAATATCTGAAAAGGATGAGTTGGTAAATACAATTTCATTACTTTTTGACTTAGAGATTTACAAATTAATCTGTAAATTTGGTTACACCAATTTATACTCCCACCAGCAATATATGAGAGTACCCATTTTTAGCACCTCCACCACAGTATCCTTTTTACTTGAGGTACATAAAATTCCCAAGTCTTAGTGTACAACTTAATGGATTTTGACATGTATAGGCACTCATGTAATTATCACGTACTAATAATTTTCATCTCTGCTGAAGTTCCTTAGCCTGTTGACGCATATTGTTCACCTTTTCCATTAGGTGAATATTCCAAACTATATTGATTATATTTGTTTTCAGTTTCCTGTCTAGCAGTTTGGACATCTGGCTCATGGCTGAGTCTGGCTCTGTTCATTGCTTTGTTTCCTGACAGTGGGGCTTTTTTTTGTTATTGCTTGCTTTTTTGTATCGGGTTTTTTTTATTGAAAACTGGGCATCATTTGTACAATGGCAGGTACCACAGTAAATAGCATTTATCCTTTGAAATGGGCATGTCCCTTATTTTGCTAGGACCTGGCAGGTAGGCCTTTATTATTGCAGGGCAGTTCACATTTTTCAAGTCAGAAATTGAGGTGAAGTTGGTTTTGTTCTTGCTGAGGTTACCCTCAGTGGACCAAATTCCTTTAGAACTGTTTTGCATTCATAGTACAGATTTGGTAGCTGGAGATTTTTTTCTAGATGTTCCTGTTCTACCCTTAGTCATAGGCTTTTCCTGTGAACCTCTTCTGAGAAGGTCCTCCCTACACTCTGTCCACATTCCAGCAGTAGAAGGCTATTGCAACCTTGTTGGTGGGGAGGGTGTTTGGAATAGGGAGCAGCATTCCCTGTCTTCCTAGTTTATGCTTACCCTTACACAGGCTTGTGTGCCTTTGTCTTGGAGCTGAAATAGTTTTATTTGCTGGTTATTTTAGATTATATTGTTTTATTCTTAAGAAGTGTTATAAGTTAAAACTTTGTTTTCTTTGTGTATATAACATGTTTCTTCAACTATTGACAGAGGAGACCTTGCCTATTTTGATGGACTTAGTGAAACTATTCTTGCTGTTGGGCTTGTGAAACCAAAAGCTGGTAAGAAGTAAAAATAAAATGATTAAATTACATTTGTATATATATTTGTGTGTATATATATATGTACACACATACTTCAAATGGTTTAGGACTGAATGATAATACATTTTAAGTAGTTGAATTTCCTATTCAAGTTTTGTTATCAATTACTTCTAATTAGAAATTTATAAAGTAGTTAGAAATATTTAACAAGTTAACTCACTTTATGGAATAAGTGAGTCTGCCTTTAAAATTGTTTGACTAATTTTCTAATTTTATTTTTTGTTACACTTTCCTCATTTACCTGTTTTTGCATTATACATTTTTCATCAGTTATTGAATATAATGTAAAAACCATTTTTGCCCCTGCATTCTTTAGTCTTAATAATCTGGGGAAGTGAAAACAGAGTTCACAATAAATCTTAGAGAAATCACAAATAAATTTCACAAGAAATCACAAAATAAAGAGAAAAACTTTATTATGCCAGGTCTTTTTCAGAACTGCTGACAAGCAGAATTGATTAAATATCTTGAATGTATGAGGGGCCTTCCTACAATGGGAAAATAATACACAAAATTCACTTGTATGAAAATAAAAATTTTAAGGTCATAGCCATTTTGATATTTTAATTCACATAAGTACAAACATGTAATTTTGTACATGGTTCGTGTGATTACATTTGAAATGTATTTCCTGAACATGGAATCTCAAAGCATTCTTTGCCCTGATATATGTACCACTGTCCTATTTCTTCATTTAAAGATTTGTTCACATAAAAGTCAATTGGTGTTCCTGTTTCCTATAATAATAAATACAGATTTATGTCTAAAATAAATAGTAAAATTTTGTTATACCCAAATGTAAATTTAAGCACAAAATTAAAATAATGGTATGGCCTCAAAGATGTTATCTTTTATAATTAAACAACTCTGACTTGGTTATCAAGTACTGAAAATTCTGTCTCTTGACCATTGTGTTATAGCTAACAAAGTCCACATCTTACTTTGCATTTTGCAAGGAAACATTCTTCAAATTAAAGCCATTTTTTTTCAAAGTCATTTAAGCTTTTTGGCAAGAGTCTGTGTTATTGATGCTTTCTTGGTAAGCAAGATTATGAATTCATGTTTCAATTTTATGAATTGAATAAATGTAAGAATTCTGAGGTATTTTCTAGAATTTACAAGTTTTTGCCTCCAGAGAAGTTTATGAGGCTTGATCATATGTTTCAAGTTCAACAAAGCATTTACCATGTATTGAAAAATTCACGTAGTTGTCTAGCTTCAGTCTCACCTTCTGAGGAGATAACTTAGCTGCAAGAGCTTGTTGCTTTGGGGCAGTATTCATTATAGTGATTATATGATTATGAGTCAAACAATTTACCCTCATCTGTATGTCCCAGTAGAGCTGCCACTAGAGTCAAATCATGTGTGAACTGTTTCCTGTGAACTATTCTTTGAATGGTCTTTCCTTGTCCCTCTAAAAAGTAAACCTGCCTCAAGTTTACTCAGCTACTCTTAGAAAGTCAGTGAACCTCTCAGAAGAAGAGAAAAACTATATTTTCCTATTTTTGAACCAAAATCTCTTGAGAAGGCACCAATTCATACCGTCATTGAAGTTGCTTCGGAAGTAGAAGCTACCCTTAGTCAAGTTTTTGGTGCCAAAGCATATGCCTTTGTAAAATGTGAGTAAGGTTCTGTTCAGTTTTTTTCACCAAAGCAGCAAAAACAGAAATGTTGGCAAAAGATCATACATACTCATATTTGTACAAAAGTATTGAATGTTTTCTTCAAAATTTTATTGGGCAGTGAAACTGAATCATTCCAAAGACCTAAACAAGTATAGCAGTTTCTAAAAAGCACCAATAAGGTGTGTATTTCATAGATAAGAAGTGAGAATTGACTAACATGGGCCCTATTGCAAACTGAAGGGAAATGGCTTCCATTTCTACCATCTCCAGTTGCAGAATATTTGAATAAATTTTCAAAGATTTTTGAGAAAGTGACATCATTTGACAAAGCACTGCCTGAATATCTTCCTTTACTCCAAGCCATAAACTGCCCTACCATCTATAAAATTTCAACTTCACTGAAGTTTCTGTAATCAAAATGACTTCTTTGATTTGGTCATTATGACTAAATACTTTGAGATACAGCTTTTATTAAGAAAAAGTAAGTTTTCGTAAAGCAAACTTTTTAAGTCAGCTTATGAAATACAGATGTATTTTGACGTCAGTAATGTAGAAGGTCTGTGCCTTCCATTTTACTGACTTGAACCTTATAAACAAAACTGGATTTGTGTCCCTTGATGTTGATCAGTGAAAGTAAAACCAAATGATGGCATAAGCTTTGTTGTATTTCTTATGACATTTAACACATTTAAGTAGGCCAAATGTATGTATATATATATCTATATAGATAGATAGATAGATAGATAGATAGATAGATAGATATTATAGGAGATATCCAGAATCATAAGATATATCTCCTTTCCTATCAGTGAGATACTATTTTTGGTCATCATAATATTATGACAATAATTATACATAGCATCTCATGTCATACTTTAAAGTTAAATAATACCATAGCATGAATTAACAAATTTTTGTATTTGTTAATGTCCCCTATGAAACTGTAAATTATCTGGTTTGGACATATAAAATCATTTGGGAAATTTGTTATATAAAGTCACTTCGGTTTCTGTGAATTTGACTGCTCCAGGTAGCTGATAAAAGTTGAATTATATATAGTATTTGTCTTTTTGTGATTGGCTGATTTCACTTAGTGTAATGTCCTCAAAGTTCATCCCTGTTTGTAGTATGTGCCAGAATTACCTTCTTTAAGATTGAATAATATTCCATAATATATTCCATACTACATTTTTAGAAATTCATTCATCTGTTTTGGGGTACTTGAATTGCTTCCACCATTGCGGTATTGTGAATGCTGCTATGAACATAAGTAAGCAGATAGTAGTCTTTATAGTTTAATAAACCTGAACTATTTTTAATGTAATATCAATTTTAAATGGCATTAAATACTAAATTGTTTCCTAAGGTGGTACTTGTCTACTACTATTTACTTATTTAATTTGATCATAGGTAATAATATTTTAACAACAAAATTAAGTTGGCTTCAGACTTCCTATATACCATTTAATGACTCAATCATTTTATGGTTAAAGCATATTCTATTAATGCTTAATAGTGGATTTTTGGGGGGGAAGTAGTCCCTAAACTATGTTTACTTTATCTTAGGCGTTTTTCAACCTCATATACGACACCTTCTGGTTTTGGCAACCCCTGTGGACATAGTCATCCTTGGACTCAGCTATGCTAATTTGCAAACAGGTATAGCAACCACATGTTGTATTTTTTAAAGTAAAAATATGTTGGCCAATTTAATATTTAAAAACTAATCTTACTGTACTAAGTTAACTTTCTAGGCTATTTGCTGATAGGAAAATACTATTTCCTTATATAGTGTCTACCAAGTTAGCACCATAAAAAAGTACTTTGGATATGTTTGCCATATTAATGTGTACTTCTTAAGTGCACAGTATAAAGGGAGGGTAGCAGAAGAGAAATAATTGACACTAGTGAGTTTTTCAATAATGCCTTCAATTTCTGTTTCTAATTCTTTGAATAGTGATTTTAACATATGGAACATTGAAATACATTATTCTTACCCTTAAAGTAAAAAACTCTCAGTTTATTATTAGCACATTCAATGGTTTCCTTTGCATTTTGGCAGTCTATTTTGGGTGAAATGATGTTGAATTATTAATGGATATTGTTACCATATTCTTAGGGTCTTTTTCAAAATTTTGTAACTTGGATTAGTTTTTAGTTTGGTGTTATAAATATTATATGTTATATAATAGTTAACATATGTTGTATATTTTATGTGTGCATACTGCACATTCTGTTTAACTTGAATTGTAAAATTGTGTCAATGCTTTATACTGATTTAAAAATGTATGTCATAGAAGCTTTTGAGTTTCAATAAAACACCAATTGTAAAGATAATGCAGTGATTGTTTTAAACTTAAAAAAAAGCTGATTCCTGTATTATTTCTTTTAAAAAAAAATAGGTTCTGGAGTTCTTAATGACAGTATGTGTGGTGGAATGCAGTTACTTCCAGATCCTTTATATTCTCTTCCCACTGATAATACTTACCTTTTAACAATAACTTCTACTGATAATGGCAGAATTTTCTTGGCTGGAAAGGATGGCTACTTATATGAAGTAGCATACCAAGTAAGTTTCACATTTAGAAACAACTTTTTCTCTTCCCTCTTAGTGAAGCAGGGATAGATTTTGGTTTTGTTTTACTTTCTAATTATATATGCATGTTAACATATTCTTATGGAAAGTATCCAGATATACAGGTAAAAGTCATTCTCCTCCATGAGTACACCATGCATATAAAACCCAATTCTCTCTTCAGACGTAAAAACTATTATCAGTTCTGAGTATGGCCTTTTAGAGTATGGCACATACATTGATATATATCTATAAATATATCTGTACATATATATTTATGTGTGTATATATATACACATAAACATGTAATGTACTATTGTGTATATATATATTTTTGGATCATTGGTTATGTTTTGTTATCTAACTGACTTTTCACTCAGCTGTATTCAGTCCTTTCTTGTTGGTATCTGGTAGATGGATATATGTTTTGTAATTGGTGCACAGTTGTCCATGAAAGGGATGTACATGGTTTACTTAATTTCCTGTCTTAATTTCAGATTTTCCCTCTCATAAATCATGCTGTTCTTTTGCAGGCCTCCTTATGCACATGCGTCGATATTTTTGTGTAGAGACTTAGAATTCTAATTGTTGGGTTATAGTGTATATGCATTTAAAATTATACTTAGTATTTTCATATTGTCCTCTAAGAGTTTTAGACTCTTAGCAGGCTTCTATTAATGTACCACACACACCCCACCTCCCCAACTAACACTGGTATTATGAAACATTAATTTTTGCCAATCAGAATAAGGGAAATTTTTGTTATCATTAGTTGAGTATCTTTTTGTTTATTTATTGGTCATTTGTGTTTTGTCTATTCTGAAATGCCTTTTTGTGTCCTTCACTCTGTTATCTCTCTCCTCTATATAGCCTTTTACATAAGACAGTGTTAGAATACTGATACAGTAAGATTTTCAGTCACACAACTAATCACTGACAGAGCTAGGATTATAAACTAGGTCACCTGTTTTTTTTAATATTACTTGAACCTCTTTTTTGTTCAATTTCTCTTGGCTTTGTTCATTACAAAAAAAAATGGCTTAGTATGGCAAAACTCAGGCATAGAGAGGTAGACTGAAATTATTATGGTGGTGCCTGCTATTGTTTGAATTTCCTTGTAGCAGAAGTGGGAACAGATGATACAAGTACCTCTATATTAGGTACTTTAACACTTACAAACTATGCTTATTAGCTTCTTTACTACTTTCAACTATGATAGCTTTTAAGAGTTTCTGGTAATTAAAATAGGAGTTCACTAGCAGCACTGCTGAAGTTCCTGGAATTGACATAGCTATTTTCATTGAGAGCAGCGATTTAATTATAGCTAACTGCATTTTGTATTTTTGAGTAAAGGATTAACCTGAGTACTTAATTTTAAATAGTTTGTCTCACTTTATTTATAATTACTGGTATTGCACCAAGATTTGAATATTTTTGTAAACATGGTATACTGTGGTTGCTATAATGGAGATACCTATATTTATAATTCTCCTTTCCGTCAATTTTTCTTTCAGGCAGAAGCAGGTTGGTTTAGCCAAAGATGTAGGAAAATAAACCACTCAAAGAGCTCATTTTCCTTCCTTCTTCCTTCATTACTACAATTCACATTCTCAGAGGATGGTAAGTAGAAAACAGTAAATTTGGCAAACAAAAATTTTAACAAATCATTGACAACATTTTCTGAAGAAATTCTCATTCTGACTGAAAGACTTTGTCTTATTAAGTAATAGTCATTATATAGTCATAAGATCTCTTAGAGGAAGAAAGAATTATCAAACATAGAAACAGTGTAGGTTTTATTCCCAAGTTCCTTTAAATATGGTATCATGGACCATGTGTCTAAAACAGTTACACATACTTCACTCAAAATATGTCTCTGTGTGTGTGTGTGTGTGTGTGTGTGTGCTTGTGAAAGACAGGTAGATAGACGGTATCTAATAGATATTTTGCCTGGTCGAGAACAAATTCCCAGCATAAAATGGATGTGTCTGGTGATAATCAGACAACATAAAGAAATAAAAGGCATCCAGGTTGGTAAGGAAGAAATTAAACTGTCACTGTTTGCAGATGACATGATATTGTACATAAAAAATCTTAAAGTATCAACCCCAAAACTACTAGACCAAATAACTGAATTCAGCAAACTTGCAGGATACAAAATACACAGAAGTCTGTTGCATTCCTATACACTAACAATGAACTACAGGAAAGAGAAATCAGGAAAACAATTCCATTTACAACTGCCATCTAAAAGAATAAAATACCTAGAAATAAACCTAACCAAGGAGGAGAAAGGCAAATACCCCGAAAACTGTAAGACACTCATGAGAGAAATAAAAGAACACACCAATAAATGGAAATACATTCCATGTTCATGGATAGGAATAATTAATATTGTCAAAATGGCCATCCTGCCTAAAGCAATCTACAGAGTCAATGCAATCCCTATCAAAGTACCAACAGCATTCTTCAACAAACTAGATCAAATAGTTGTAAAATTCACAGGAATCACAAAAGACCCCAATTTTCCAAAGCAATCATGAAAGGAAGAATAAAGCTGGGGAGATTTTGCTCCCAAACTTCAAGCCCTACTACAAAGCCACAGTAATCAAGGCAATTTGGTACTGGCACAAGAACAGACCCATAGACTAATGGAACAGATTAGAGAGCCCAGATATAAATTCAAGTATATATGGTCAATAAATATATGATAAAGGAGCCATGGACATACATTGGGGAAATGACAGTCTCTTCAACAACTGGTATTAGCAAAACTGGACAGCTACATGCAAGAGAATGAAACTGGACTGTTGTCTAAGTGTATACACAAAAGTACACTCAAAAAGCATCAAAGACCTGAATGTAAACCATAAAACTCTTGGAAGACAACAAAGGCAAAAATCTCCTGAATATAAGCATGAGCAACTTTTTCCTGAACACATCTCCTTGGGCAAAGGAAACAAAATAAAAAAAGAATGAATGGGACTACATCATGCTAAAAAGTTGTACAACAAAGGACACCATCAGCAGAACAAAAAGGCATCCTACAGTATGGGAGAATATATTTGTAAATGACGTATCTGACAAGGGGTTAACGTCCAAAATATATAAAGAACTCATACACCTCAACACCCAAAAAGCAAATATCCCTATTAAAAAATGGGCAGAAGATATGAACAGACACTTCTCCAAAGAAGAAATTCAGATGACCAATAGGCACATGAAAAGATGCTCCACATCACTAATTATCAGGGAAATGCAAATTAAAACCACAATGAGATATCACCTCACACCAGTTAGGATGGCCAACATAGAAAAGACTAGGAACAACAAATGCTGACAAGGATGCAGTGAAAGGGGAAACCACCTACACTGCTGGTGAGAATGTAAGCTAGTTCAACCATTGTGGAAAGCAGTATGGAGGTTCTTCAAAAAGCTCAAAATAGAAATACTATTTGACCCAGGAATTCCACTTCTAGGAATTTACCCTAAGAATGCAGCAGCCCAGTTTGAAAGACAGATGCACCCCTATGTTTATCGCAGCACTATTTACAATAGCCAAGAAATGGAAGCAACCTAAGTGTCCATCAGGAGATGAATGGATAAAGAAGATGTGGTACATATACACAATGGAATATTATTCAGCCATAAGAAGAAAACAAATCTTACCATTTGCAACAACATGGATGGAGCTAGAGGGTATTGTGCTCAGTGAAATAAGCCAGGTGGAGAAAGCCAAGTACCAAATGATTTCACTAATCTGTGGGATATATTTAAAAAAAGCAAAAACTGAAGGAACAAAACAGCAGCAGACTCACAAAACCCAAGAATGGACTAACAGTTACCAAAGGGAAAGGGACTGGGGAAGATGGATTGGAAGGGAGGGATAAAGGGAATAAGGGGCATTACAGTTAGCACACATAACATGGGAGTAGTGGAGATACCTGGAACTCAATATAGCACAGAGAAGACAAGTAGTGACTCTACAGCATCTTACTACACTGATGGACAGTGACTGTAATGGGTATGTGGTGGGGACTTAATGGGGGTGATGTAGTAACCACAATGTTGCTCCATGTGATTGCATATTAATGAATCAAAAAAAGTTAATATGACTGAAATTTTAAATTATATCCCTTCACACAATGAATTTTATTAAACTAAACTGGAAGTTGCTTGAAAGAGTGGACCAAGTGTAATTACTTCATGTGTTTCTAGGATTCATTAAATAGTCAGTGAATGAAGAAATAATCTAGAACTTCTTTTGGTTTGGCTTAAAATTCATTTAGAAGACAGAATAGCTTATTTCTTATGCTTTTAACTTATTCAGAGTGTTTGATACCTGTTTTTATCACACGGTCTTTGATACAAATGCTTCTTGACTTTGTCTTTATGCCATTACCTAAGCCTATCTACAAAGCAAGAAGAAAGCCCCTGAATGCAAAGTTCTAATTCGGTAATTTTAATTTCTTATAAATGGCAACAGTATCTGATTTTTTCATCTTTGCTTTTCTTTTTCTTTCTTGTCTTTCAGATCCTATTGTTCAAATTGCAATTGATAACTCTAGAAATATTTTATATACACGATCTGAGAAAGGAGTAATACAGGTAAGTATTAGTATTCTACCACCATTCAAGGTGGGGAAAGAACATCCCTAATTTTAAGGAAAACGATTCAGTCACTTTTAGACTTTCCTTATAAACTGTGCTTTTTAAAAAAACATCCCAAACCACTTTTTAGAACCCCTTTTTTTTCTGATATCTCAAATTTCTAAATGTTTCTTTACCAAGATTAGAGGATCCTTAAAAGGAAAGTGTTTTAATAAAATTCTGTTAAAAAGTTTATTTCACAAAATGTATACAGTTTAGAGTCATGTTTAAGCAGGTTCAATTTTTTGTTTCAGGTTTATGATTTGGGCCATGATGGACAAGGAATGAGCAGAGTTGCTTCAGTTTCACAGAATTCTATTGTTTCTGCTGCTGGAAACATTGCTAGGTATATGTAATTTATTGTCAGACATATCATTTGCGGCAAACTAAAATGATTTTCCCTCAAAGTATCTCTACAAAATATGGATGTTGAAATAGATGACATCAGAGGTTGTTTGTTCCTTTTTATTCTTATGATGGATGGTTTGGAAACATCAGGCAGACTAGATTTACAGTGTAAAGTACAACTTGACATAGGTCTTTCCGTGGAACTTTAAGCTTTAGGTGGTCTGTACAGGCATTACAGGTGTTGTGACTAGGAAAGTATTTGTCTCAAAGTTCCTTCTCTTATAATTACTGACCCTTTAACAGTCCTACATAGTAAGAGTTTAGTTGATCTGATAATTGATGCAAGTACAGTTTGGGAATACAGAACTTTATGCTTCTATTGTCCAAGTTGTATTCTTGAGGAAAGTGAAACTAAGGGATATTATGATTTGCCTGAGGTCTGACTGCTAAATAAATGCTGGAACCCAAGTTCGAAGCAAATCTTCAGACACTACACTGCAATTTACATATATCACAACTGGTTTAGCTCAGCTGCAGAAACTCTCTTTCCATAACAAAAGCCTCAGATTTTCAACTTTCATTTTGTACGTTTCTGTGGCATTCTACACTCTGATTTCCTAGGGGAAAATCAACTTGTTTTCCTTGCTCTTCAGTGACAAAAGAATTTTCAAGGCAGTCTATCTAAAATAGAAGATTTCCTTTTTCTTCCTCCAAACTTCTTTTGAAAGATTTTTAAATTCCCAGAAAAATTGAAAGAGCAGCATGATAGAAACAGGTATACCCACTGGCACAAGAACAGACTCATAGACCAATGGAACAAAAATTGAGAGAGCCCAGATATAAACCCAAGCATATATGGTCAATTAATATACAATAAAGGAGCCTTGGACATACAATGGGGAAATGACAGCCTCTTTAACAGCTGGTTTTGGCAAAAATGGATCAAAGACCTGAATATAAGTCATGAAACCATAAAACTCTTATAAGAAAACATAGGCAAAAATCTCCTGAATATAAACATGATGGACACTCAAGTTGATTCCATTTCTTGGCTATTGTAAATAGTGCTGCAACTTTTTTCTGAATGCATCTCCAGCAAGGGAAACAAAAGCAAAAATGAATAAATGGGATTACATCAAGCTAAAAAGTTTCTGTACCACAAAGGACACCATCAACAGAACAAAAAGGCATCCTACAGTATGGGACAATATATATGTAAATGACATATCCAACAAGGAGTTAACATACAAAATATATAAAGAACTTACACACCTCAGCGACCAAAAAGCAAAAAACCCAATTAAAAAATGTGTGGAGGATATGAACAGACACTTCTCCAAAGAAGAAATTCAGATGGCCAACAGGCACATGAAAAGATGCTCCACATCACTAATTATCAGGGAAATGCAAATAAAAACCACAATGAGATATCACCTCACACCAGTAGGGATGGCCAGTATAGAAAAGACTAAGAACAACAAATGCTGGTGAGGATGTGGAGAAAGGGGAACCCTCCTACACTGCTGGTAAGAATGTAAGCTAGTTCAACCTTTGTGGAAAGCAATATGGAGGTTCTTCAAAAACTACCAAACAGAAATACTATTTGACCCAGAAATTTCACTTCTAGGAATTTACCCAAAGAAAACAACCTCTCAGTTTCAAAAAGACATATGCACCCCTATGTTTATCGCAGCACTACTTACAATAGCCAAGAAATGGAAGCAACCTGAGTGTCCATCAGTAGATGAATGGATAAAGAAGATATGGTACATATATACTCAATGGAATACTGTTCAGCCATAAGAAAGAAACAAATCCTACCATTTGCAACAACATGGATGGAGCTTGAGGATATTATGCTCAGTGAAATAAGCCAGGCAGAGAAACACAAGTACCAAATGATTTCCCTCAGTTGTAGAGTATAACAACGAAGGAAAACTGAAGGAACGAAACAGCAACAGACTCAGATTCCAAGAAGGGACTAGTGGTTACCAAAGGGGAGGGAGGGGTAGAAGAGGGTGGGTGGGGAGTGGAAAAGAAGGGGATTGAGGTGTACTATAATTGGCACACATGGTGTGGGGGGTGGTCATGGGGAAGACTGTATCACAGAGAAGACAAGTAGTGACTCTGTTGCATCTTCCTATACTGATCGGCAGTGACTGCAATGGGGTATGGGGGGACATTATAATATGGGTGAATGTGGTTACCACATTTTTTTTTCATGTAAAATCTTCATAAGAGTGTATATCAAAACACCTTAATAAAAAAAAACAGGTATACCCTCTAGCAAAATTCACCAATTATTAACATTTTTGCCTCATTTGCTTTCTCATTAACTATTTGAAAGTAAAGTGCAAACATCATGACTTTCATTCTTAAATCCTCCAGCTTCCATCTCCTAAGTCTCTTACGTAAGTGCAATACCAGTTCCACACCTAAAACAATATTTTTGTAATATTGTATTGTAACTATACATTCCATGTTAAAACTACTTAATAGTCCTCAGATTATAGCCATTTTTCTTCCATTTCTTGATTTGATCAGCTCATGAATTGCATGGTCATTAGACTATTTAATATAGAATAGACTTCTCCCCACCTTTTCTTTTTCAAATGTTATCATTTGGGAGGGAAGGACAGGAGTGTTATTTATAGAATATTCCAATTTCTACATTGTTTTTCATTTATCATTAGATTCAGGGTGTTATTTTTTTTAGGCAGCACCACGTGGGTGATGTGAATTTAGCATTAGACCTAGGAGGCACTTGATACCAGCTTTCCCACTATTGAACCCTTGGTTAAGTTGGTGTTCACTAGATGTCTCCATTATAAAGGTTTGTTTTTTTCCCCTTTTTAAAATTAGTGGTGTCCTTTACAGTAATGTGATGCTCTGAGAACACCTTGTTTTCCCATTAACCATTTAGCCAATGGATTTAGCCACCTTTTGTGATCTTTGAAAAAAGGGATTCTCTTAACTATATTAATGTGAACGACACACATTTAAGCATTTTTGCCAGTTCTTGGTGCTGTTCTATTACTTTCCTAGAAAGTTAGTCTTAAACTATTTAAAAATATTTAGACATGTAAAAATGCTGGTGGAAATGTTCCTTGTTATTTAGTAGACACATTTTTAAAATAAACTTTAGTTTTTTTCCTTTCTTTTAGAACCATAGATCGTTCTGTTTTTAGACCAATTGTTCAAATAGCTGTGATTGAAAATTCTGAATCACTGGACTGTCAGTTACTGGCTGTCACACATGCAGGTATGTTGTTTTATATACATCTGCATTTGCTTTGATAACGTTCACTTATTAGATTTCTAAATTTATGATTAGCATTGTATTTTTACATTGTAGCAATTATCAAGTGATTAAATATAAATTAAACATAAAACCAGATCTGAAAGGTAAAGTGGCTAACATTCAGTGACAGAACCTGAATTGGAACAAAGACTGTCATGGATGATAGTTGTAGGTTCTTTCATGGCTGATAGTTATAGGTTCTTTCTACTGAAAATTGTTGATTTACTTCTCAGTTGTATGTGACATTTGTCTTAGAAATGTATGTCAGCTGTAGTACATGTGAGTGATCAGTCAGGAAAGTCATACATGACTCTAACAAGAGTTCTCTGTTTCTCTGTGGAATTGCGTCAGTAATATGTACCTCAGGTCTTCTCTTTTCTGTTTCTGATGTATAATTTTACCCCATCATCAGGTATAAGATTATATTTCAGCACTTGTCCATTCAGACAGCCATTTGCACGACCTAATACATTGACACTGGTTCACATCCGCTTACCTCCTGGATTCTCAGCATCTTCAACAGTGGAAAAGCCTTCAAAAGTACATAAAGCTCTTTATAGTAAAGGTAAGTTCTGAATACTATCAGATTTAAGATTAGATGCTTAAAATTATTAAAATTAGAATGCATTTTGAGGCTTTTGAAATTTTCTAATAAAATTTAGAGTATTTTGGCTTTTCAAGAACTTTTTTAATATTTAGATTACATTTCAAGTGTTTTCAATTGTAATGTATATTAAAATGAATATTTTTAAAATATCTGAATACTTTTTAAATTGTTTTAATTTTAACATGGTACTGGCCTTGTATATAAACTTCTGGTCAAAATCAGTGTTATGTACCCTGTAATAGACTCTGAACTCTCTACCTTATGTGATGCTCTGAGAACACCTTGTTTTCCCATTAACCATTTAGCCAATGGATTTAGCCACCTTTTGTGATCTTTGAAAAAAGGGATTCTCTTAACTATATTAATGTGAACGACACACATTTAAGCATTTTTGCCAGTTCTTGGTGCTGTTCTATTACTTTCCTAGAAAGTTAGTCTTAAACTATTTAAAAATATTTAGACATGTAAAAATGCTGGTGGAAATGTTCCTTGTTATTTAGTAGACACATTTTTAAAATAAACTTTAGTTTTTTTCCTTTCTTTTAGAACCATAGATCGTTCTGTTTTTAGACCAATTGTTCAAATAGCTGTGATTGAAAATTCTGAATCACTGGACTGTCAGTTACTGGCTGTCACACATGCAGGTATGTTGTTTTATATACATCTGCATTTGCTTTGATAACGTTCACTTATTAGATTTCTAAATTTATGATTAGCATTGTATTTTTACATTGTAGCAATTATCAAGTGATTAAATATAAATTAAACATAAAACCAGATCTGAAAGGTAAAGTGGCTAACATTCAGTGACAGAACCTGAATTGGAACAAAGACTGTCATGGATGATAGTTGTAGGTTCTTTCATGGCTGATAGTTATAGGTTCTTTCTACTGAAAATTGTTGATTTACTTCTCAGTTGTATGTGACATTTGTCTTAGAAATGTATGTCAGCTGTAGTACATGTGAGTGATCAGTCAGGAAAGTCATACATGACTCTAACAAGAGTTCTCTGTTTCTCTGTGGAATTGCGTCAGTAATATGTACCTCAGGTCTTCTCTTTTCTGTTTCTGATGTATAATTTTACCCCATCATCAGGTATAAGATTATATTTCAGCACTTGTCCATTCAGACAGCCATTTGCACGACCTAATACATTGACACTGGTTCACATCCGCTTACCTCCTGGATTCTCAGCATCTTCAACAGTGGAAAAGCCTTCAAAAGTACATAAAGCTCTTTATAGTAAAGGTAAGTTCTGAATACTATCAGATTTAAGATTAGATGCTTAAAATTATTAAAATTAGAATGCATTTTGAGGCTTTTGAAATTTTCTAATAAAATTTAGAGTATTTTGGCTTTTCAAGAACTTTTTTAATATTTAGATTACATTTCAAGTGTTTTCAATTGGAATGTATATTAAAATGAATATTTTTAAAATATCTGAATACTTTTTAAATTGTTTTAATTTTAACATGGTACTGGCCTTGTATATAAACTTCTGGTCAAAATCAGTGTTATGTACCCTGTAATAGACTCTGAACTCTCTACCTTCATGAGAGTTAGGAAAAAATGATTTTCAAAACCATGGCTGCTATATTGGTGTCTTTATGGATGTGGAAAATTTTTCATGCAGCAATTTGCAATCTTGACAAATTCTTTTGGATTCATGATTAAGTTAAAAATTAAATTCTAGTTAGACATCAGAACTTGAAAAACCTGTGCACACTTTTCCCATGATAAAAAGCATTTGTTAAATGTTTGTTTTGATTTTCTAGTTATTCTAAAGCCCTTTCTATGCTTATCCTAATGTCTCTTCCAATGTTTTACTTCTCAACAACCAAATGGAGCTTTCCTTTACAAATAGAATTTTTCATAGTATCATGCACTTACCCAGCATTTTTAAATAACAGGTTTATTGAGATATAATTCACATATCACAAAATTTAACAATGTACAGTCCAGTGTCTTTTAATTTATTCAGAGCTGTACAGCAACCATCACCACCGTCTAGTTCCAGAACATTTTCATCACTTCCGAAAAAAATCCTGTCCCCATCAGCAATCACTCCCTGTTCCCCCTTCTCCCACCCTGGGAAATCACTAGACTTTCTTTCTATGTGGACTTGTGTATTTTGGACATTTCATATGAATAGAATCAGACAGTATATGACTGGCTTCCTTCAGTTAGCATAGTGCTTTCAAGGTTCATATGTAACGTAGTATAGTCATTTCTTTTTATTTTTGAATAATACTTCTTTGTGTGAGTATGCCATATTTATCTGTCATTTGGTGGGCATTTGGGTTGTTTCTACTTTTTGTCTATTATAAATAATGCTGCTATAAACATTTGTGTACAGGTTTTTTTATGGGCTTATGTTTTCATTTCTTTGGGATATATACCTAGGAATGGAATTGCTGGATCATATGGTAACTGTGTTTAACCTTTGAAGAATTGCCAGGCTGCTTTCCAAATCAAATAGACCATTTTACATTCTTATCAATAGTGTATGAGGACTCAAGTTTTGCTGCATCCTTGCCAACACTTGTTTTCTATCTTTTATGTCCATCCTGGTGGATGTGAAGTGATAAATGACTCCAATTTTGATTTGCCTTTTGCCTTTGCCTGATTGCTAATGATGTTGAACATCCTTTTTTATGCTTATTGACCATTTGTACATCTCCTTTGGAGAAATAACTTCAGATTTTTTGCCCTCTTTAAAATCAGGTTGTCTTTTGATTATTGATTAATAAGTATTCTTTGTATATTCTAGACACAAGTCCCTTGTCAGGTATATGATTTGCCAAGTGTTTTCTGCCATTCTGTGGGTTATCTTTTCACTTTCTGATAGTGCCCTTGGAATCAGAAAAGTGTTTAATTTTGATTAAGTCCAGTTTATCTATTTTTTCTTGCTGTGCTTGGTTTATTTCTAAGAGGCCATTCCCTAACCCAACGTCATATTTTACCACTATGTTTTCCTCTGTGAGTTTTACACTTTTCACTCTTATTATATTTAGCTCTTTGAATACATTTTGAGTTAATTTTTCTATATTATGTGAAGTAGAGGTCTGACTTCATTTTTGCATATTGTTCTAGTACCTTTTGATAAAAAGACTGTTCTTTCCCCATTGAATTGTCTTGGTACCTTTGTCTCCAATAAATTGCCCATAAATATATGGGTTCTAGACTGTCATTTGTATTCATTGTTATATATGTCCTTATGCCAGTAACCCACAATGTTGATTACTGTTACTTTGCCGTAAGTTTTGAAATTCCAACCTTGATCTTTTTTTTTCCTCAAGATCGTTTTGATTTTTCTGTATCTCTTGCATTATGATATGAATTTTAAGATCAGTTTGTCAATTTCTGCCAAAAAGGCAGGTAGGATTTGATAGTTGAAAATGTAGATCTTTTTGGGGAGTATTGCCATTTTATATTAAGTCTTGAAGTCCAGGAACATGGGATATTTTTCTATTAGACCTTATTTAATTTCTTAGAATGATGTGTGTACATTGTACCATGTGCAAGTTTTATACTTGAATTAATTCCGAAGTATTTTGTTCTTTTTGATGCTATATCATAAGTAGTATTAAGTTTTAATGCTAGAAATATATTGAGAAAAAATTACTATGGTTGTAACTATATATATGGTGCAATCAGACTACATTTTTTTCAAACATCCATATGCTAAATTTTAAGAACATTTTCTGTCATCTTGGTATGGCATCTCAAATTTTCACAAACTACTTACAGGTTTTATTAATTATGGTCTCATTACTTATAACTGTCCAGTAGACTAAAGACTGTTATCACTAAAGTCAGTATAAAGGAAACAAATTAGCCAGAGGAGTTGGAATTGATAACAGTACACTTCAGAAATCAAACTGTAACTTCACCTTTTGAGGAACTGCCAGACTGCTTTTGAAAGCAACTATACCATTTCACATTCTTCCCAATAGTACATGAGGGTTCTAGTATTGCTAAGATGATGCTCTTATAATGCATTTATTTCTGCCATTCCATTAGCAATGACTTCATCATTTTTCTTCATGGTGTGTTTGAATTAACAAGTTCATGAACTCTATTTCATTAAATGTTAGATTCCAGTGATTGTTAAGTCATAACATTTTTTTATGTACTGAACACCTTATTTTAAACATAATTAAATTGATAAACACTTTGCAAAATATATCCTAATTTCAGAAGTGTTAAAATGTCAAAAAATAAGTGTTTGCTTGAATGAAATACAGTATAAGATCTGGAACTTTTAATCACTGTACCTTATCAATAATTAAATGTCCTTTCAGGGTTTGTTTTTGTCTATTTTATAACTTGTTTACCTCTAATGATAAATGCTACGTGTGTATACATATATGTATTAATATTACTAATTAGTATTAAGATTATTAGGGATGTATTATTATTTGGCATCATATAAGATTTTGTGTTTTTAGGTATTCTATTGATGACAGCTTCTGAAAATGAAGATAATGATATTTTGTGGTGTGTCAACCATGATACTTTTCCTTTCCAAAAGCCAATGATGGAAACCCAGGTAAGTTATCCTGAGAATTGTAAAGAAGCTTTTTATATAAAATCTTAGTGAAGAATAAAATTTTGAGAAACTTTATCTTCTGATGTATTACAGTTTGCTTCTAACAGTCTTATATGATAAGAAATCATACTGAAAAGAAGCATACCCTGTTAATTCTTTGTTTCTCCCCTGTGAGATTAGAAGTTGTCATGATAATCATTAAAAATATATTTTTTTACTTTTTTATTGAAATATAGTTGATACACAGTATTATACTGGTTTCAGGTAAAATATCTTTAAACATTGGAACCATTTTAAAATATTTTTCGTGATGTATCTGAAAATGCATATATCTTTTCTGAAATAATCCTTGTCCCTTTTAAGTATATTGTATTTTTAGTTATTTAATTATGAGGCCATCCATTATAGTTAAGACCTAAAATTTTATTCTAATGATCTCTGTGTTGTAGTTATGCCTAAATTAAAAGTTTTTTCTTTTAATTAATTATAGAATTTTCAAACATACACAAGAGTAAACAATGATAAATTGAACCCTATATTAGAGATTTACTAACATTTTCCCCATCTTGCTTCATTTCTCTTCCCTACATGTACAAATGTACACACACACAGTTGTGTTTTAAAACCAAATACCACCACATATCCATGAAGTCAGTGTAGAGGTTCTGGATGAGGAGTGTGGCCCTGGCCTCTTCCTGGCCCAATCCTGCACCTGAAGTGCCCATCCCAACCCCCAGCACACAGGAGCTGAGAGAGGACCAACAACCCAAGGGTATGGCCAAGGGAGATCATCTCTGCTCCCTCCCCTTGGTGTCCCCTATACCACCCCTATCTTCCCTTCTAGATGCCCTAGCAAAAAACCCATGCTTCCTGCGCCCAGAAGCTGCTAATCAAACCAAATAAATCAACCACTACTGGAGCATGAATATCTGATACTCTCTCTGGAAACATCCCTTTCAAGGCATTTTGATTCTCGCTGTCACTGGCTGTTCCCTGGTTAATCTCAAGCTTAAGCCCTTCTATCTAGGGGGGCAATAAGAAAAGGTGTGTAGATGCGAGGAGGAAGAAACCAATCTCCAGGGACAGGGGCATAGTTTGAACAGGCTCTTCCAAGTTTCTGACATGGCCCAAGTTGCTAGGGCAGGGACAGGAGGTAGGTGTAGAGTTAAGAAGCACCCTTCTCAAATTCTTCCCTTTATTCTTTGAACTTTACTAAGCACTAAATCCATGTCTCATGCTGTGATAGACTGGGGATTCAGAACTAGGTAAGTTATAAACCCTGTCCTGATGGAACCATAGTGTTAGGGGGGTGCAGGTTTGAATTCTGGCTGCCATTTCATCAAGGCTGTGACTCAAAGGACTTACTGTGAGACCTTTGATTTCCTTATCTATAATAGTTATAACAGTACCTACCTCTATAGGATTAAATAAGTTCAGATATGTAAAGCATTCAGGACACTGTCTGGCACACAGGATATACTCCAGATGGTAACTATTATTGGTTTGTTTGTTTAAAGCAGTACTATACATATCATTTCATTTGTGTAAGAGTTCTCAAACAAATAATGGATTTTAAAAAAAAAAGCTACCAAATACAAATATAGTGCATGAACTTTGACCAAATACTGGTCTTTCAAAAGCAGATATTGGGACAGTGGGGAAATTCTATATTTGCTGGGCATTAGATTATATTGAAGAACTGTTAATATTCTTAAGTATTACAGAGTATCATGGTGATATAAGAGAACATCTTTTTTTTTAGGAGATGTATGCAAGAGTATTTAGCAGTGACATAAGATGCGATAACTTTCAAATTGTTCGATGAAAGAAAAATATATAGAAAGAGAGAAATCAAATATGGCAAAATGCTAATAACTGAATTTAGATATTGGGCATATGGACATTTCCTGTACTTCCACTGTTTCAGGATGCTTGAAATTTTTTATAATGAAAATATTTTAGAAAATTAAAACACTTCTCTCAAAAGAATATCTTAGCTTAGAAAGAAAATACAACTTCCAAAGAGAACAAAAATCTACATGTTAGCAAAATACAAGCACTGAACCTACTGGGATAGATCAGTCTATCTTGGAAAGATGATAGAAGGTAGTCTTTGGTTATTGAAAGAATTCTAGTAAATACTACTTATAGTTTATCTAAAGAAAAATTTGCTTTTGTCCTCTAATATGAAAAGATTATCAAAGAAGATTCCTGCTTAAAAGACTAGACAGTAGAAAATTAAATACAGACTTTTGAGAATATTCATGTTAATTGTATTATTAATTTATTTTACATTTACTTATAAATTGGTTTTTTTTTTCTTTATAGAAGGTTTTACCTTATATGTATAGAAAGTTTATTTTCTTTTACATAGATGACGACCCGTGTTGATGGTCATTCCTGGGCTCTTTCTGCCATAGATGAATTGAAAGTAGATAAAATAATTACACCCTTAAATAAGGATCATATTCCAATAACTGACTCACCAGTTGTTGTACAGCAGCACATGTTGCCACCAAAGAAATTTGTTCTCCTCTCAGCACAGGTATGTACATATTCTGTGGAGATAGTTACAAAAGGAAGACACGTGATATTTAATGTTTTTGTCAAATATTCTACAGTATTGGCTTAATAGACTTATTAAGTACTTAGGAATGTTTACTCTTAAAATAATCTTAAGAAATAGTTTGTAAATACCAAAAATACAACAAAAGAGCTTGCTCCTTATAAAGTGCTGTACTTTAAAGTAGCATTTCTATCACCATAAAATAAATAAGCTAAGTTTATTTCTTGTAGTACTCAGTTAACTTTTAGAAAACATTTTCTTAATACTCAATTTTTGAATAGTAGTAATGTATTGACAAAGTTCAAATGATGTAACAAGAGATACACGGATAATAATCTAGTTCAGTTTCCTTTGCTACAGACACCTTGTCGTCAGCATCTGTGTATCATTTAGAAATGTGTTGTGGGTTTTCAAACATATTTCTAAACAAGTGGTAGCATATTATATACTCTTTTTTATGCCTTGCTCTTTATATCTCAAAAATGTGTTTTAGAAATCTTTCCATATCAATATATATAAAAATCTTTCTCATTCTATTTTGTATTTAAAAGGTTTTCCTTTAATGGATGTTCCATCTTTGTTAGACTTATATCAATGGTCATCTTTGGCTGTTAAAAGTAATGCTTCAACCTTCCATTTTGCATGTGTGTGGATAAAACTGCTGAATTGCATCGCCTGGGCTGAAGAATATATGTGCTTATAATTTTGATATGTGTTGCTAGATTTCCCTGTTACATACATACATTCATTATTGGTTAATGTTGAAGGCTTGTTCCTTAACATCCTGTCCAAGTACAGTATGCCATCTTACTAAGCATGAGATTGAGTATCTTTTTCAAGTATTTATTTTCTGTGAACTGTGTATTCCTATTTTATACCTGCTTTTCAGTTGCATTGTTTTTATCTTTTTGATTTATGGAAGCTCTTTATTTAACAAGGAAACTGACTTTTTGTGGTTTTAGTCTCATATTTTTCCTAGTTTGTCATCTGATTTTGTTTACTGATATTTTTCCCATGGATAAGGATTCAAAATTTATAAGTAGTCAAAATTTTTAGTTACCTTTTGGGATTTATAAAAATAGTAGAAAGACTTCCTTACTCTGAGGTTCATAAAAAATTTCACCTATAGTCTTTTAGTACTATTATAGTTTTATTTTGTCCTTAAACCTTTGATCTATTTGGAATTTATACTGGTATAAAGTATAAGTAAGGAGCCAGCTTTACTTTTTTCTAAATAAATGTGCTTGTGCCATTCATCATGATGAATGGATAAATAAACTTTAATCCTCTGGTTTGAGGCACAGCTTTTATCATTTCTAAATTCTAGTATTTACTTGAACCTATATCAAAACTCTAAATTTAATAAGAAAACATTGACTCCCACCAAAAAAAAAAAGAAAACTACAGTAAAAAGGTGCTGGCTGTTTAGATACATCTTATAAACCTTTATCTTGTGTATAGTATAGCACCTGCTATACTAATATGTTTTGTATCTGATGGCAGTGTTTTCATATTAAATTTTCTTTGTGAGTACATCGATCTACTATAGGTTAAGGAGTTGAAATGTAGGTGCTCTTTTTTACCAGTTTACTTTATATTGTTGAAATTATTTTTTTGTTTGTTTCATCAATTTTATTAAATACATACCAGGGTCAGGTGCAAAAGCAAAGCTTGGTAAGTCTATTATTCATGTTATTTTTTTTAACTTCTTAGGGGAGTCTTATGTTTCATAAACTTAGACCTGTAGATCAACTGAGGCATCTATTTGTGAGTAATGTGGGTGGAGATGCAGAAGAGATTGAAAGATTCTTTAAATTACATCAGGTAATTATTTTTCCTTTTTTTTAATGTGATGATATTTTAAACAATGAAACAATGGGATTGATAGCTACATTTTATGTAGGTTAGAACCAAAAAACTGTAGTTAACAAGTTATCTTACCAACCTTACTTTCTTTATATTGGTCACTATGTGGACTGATAACCAATATCAGTAAACAATAGTAATAAAGCTTACAGTAAATGCTCAGATTTTTATTCTTTTGATAACTTATTTTCATGAAAGTACACTAATAAGAGTCTAACATTCAAGTTGTATGATAAGTGCATATTTATCAAAAGCTCAAGACATTTATTGCTTAATGACCCAAGGAGAAAAACTTGAGGCAGTAGTGATTGTACATTAGTATTTCAAAGACATACCTAGAATTGACAAGGTAAAATTTAGAATGCTTAGTTTAAAATAAAAAATATCAAACCAAAGTTAAGTGTAGAGGCTCTGAACTCAAATACCAGCTCCACACCAATGTAGACTACTTGAATTCTTTGGGCTTCAGTTTCCTCATAAACTGTGTAAAATATTCATTACATTATAATAGTATGTGAGGATTAATGTATGCTAACTCTTAAAATAGTGTCTGGCATATAAAAAGGTACTCAATAAATATTACTTATTGTTACTGTTATTTTCTAAAAGGTAAATAGATTAATTTTTAAAGAAAAAAGAATGCGGGGTATACACCAGAAACTAAAATAGAATCTAGATGAAGAGAGAGCATCCTTTAATAATAGTACCTTCAATAAGTTTTAAAACCAACAGTATTTACTTCTCCTTTTTCATACCAACTGATTTCTTTTGTTCAGTAAATATTATTGAGCACTGTTATGTGCTGGGCACAGATTTAAACACTGGATATAGTAGTAAACAAAACAATTCTTTTTAAATGTTTGTTTCATGTAAGGTAAGATACTCTTTTTTTTACAGGAAGACCAGGCATGTGCAACTTGTCTTATCCTTGCTTGTTCCACTGCTGCCTGTGACAGAGAAGTATCGGCTTGGGCAACTCGGGCTTTCTTCAGGTATATATCAGTTTTTTTCAGTTGTTGACTACTTTTTAAAGTGGTTGCATTGACCAATTTGATAGTTTAAGGGCTTGTCAAATAGTTGAGTGACTGTGTAGCCAAGTTACTGAAATTACTTTGCAGAAAGGTGAAATCTGGAAAATTTAATGCTAATAGAAGCAGCTAGATTAGCACAATTTATATATTGTACCTTTTCTCTAAATTCTGTTCTCCGGCTTCTATCTAGGCTTCTCCCTAAACCTCTTTCTACCTCAGTTAATATCTGTCTTTTTTACTTCCTCAGATACTGTACCAAGTCTGCTCTATGTTTATCATTGGCAGTGAGGGATATTTTTAACCATTTTAAGGAAACTTGGTATTAAAGAGATACTTATATGCAGAAAAAGTTAAAGAAAAGAATTTGAAATGTGCTTTGTTACTGTTTAATCATAATCTAGTATGAAAATTACAGTGCCATATGCTCACTAAGTAAATTCTATGCATTGTTAACTCTTTTTTAGAAATTGCCAGAGCCCCTTATAATTCTTCCTGGTAGAGCTTCAAGTCACATTTACTTAATAAATATTTTATTATGTATCAATACATATATTTAGCTACATAGTATATTAAAGCATTTATTTTGAAGGAAAGCAGGACTTGGAACACTTCCACCGTTTAAGGTAGATAGTTTCACTGAATAAAATCAGTCTCTGTTGTCATAAAAATAGGTACGGTGGTGAAGCACAGATGAGATTTCCAAGCACTCTCCCTGCTTCAAGTAATGTTGGTCCCATCTTGGGGTCTCCTGTCTATGCTAGTGAGTATGAAACATTGTTATGAAACTGTTTCTAATAGAGTTTTAGTTTTAGAAACTTCATAGCATATTTTAATTGACAAAAGCCTTTTTATAATATTTTAGTTACTGCCACTATATTACTGGAAATAATTCTATAGATATCTGATTCTTAAAAAATATATATTGATACTGATTTCTTAATGTATGCTAGGGAACAAAATAAGATGTAACCAGTAGTATGTAGCCAGATGTAAACAGAACTCGTTTGTTATCTATTGCATAGAAAGGAAATGAATGATTTAATAATAAGTAAACTTCTACCTCAGTGTTTTCTGAAGTGGGGATTGTTAGAAAGTTCCTGGGAAAGGAGATGGGTCTCATTCTTAAATACATTATGGATGGTGCCACCCCTCACTCTTATGCTTAGAAATAGCTTCTCTGTCTAATTTTATCAGATATAAAAGATTAGGAGGTTATTTTACCATTTGTTATATCCTTTTCTGTTTAGGCTCTCCTATTCCTAGTGGCAGTACATATCCAAATCCATCCTTTTTGGGAACACCCTCTCAAGGTACCTCTTTTCTTTGTTTTAGATTGCTACTACTATTCTTTCTGAAGAACTAGCATTGTGAGTTATCCTTAATGCTTAGTGTGAAAAGATGAACTAGCCACTTTCTCTTATGTAATTTAATAAAAGTGACAGCCAAGCAAGTATTGGCATTTGGTCATGAATGCCTTTATGTATAAACGCCTTCAGTAGTGTCCCTGTTAAAGCCCTTTTTTAGTTACCAGCCATGAAATAATACATAATTAGTTCTGTTTCACTCCTAGCACCAAGGAATGGTGATTGCGAGGTTTCTTTCCTTTTTCTCCTGAATCACTAACACTTGGAAGCCTACCTGAGAGCACTGATACAAGTCTAAGTCTCTCTTCTTGAAAACCAAATTAAATATCCATTTATTTCAGTATTTTTTGTAAATTTTCTTTCCTATGGGTCTAGGTACAACCACCTTGGGTTACTGAGAAGTTGAAATGTTTCAAGTTAAATTTTAAGATTTTTTTCTTTTATGTATACAAGGTGTACATCCTTCTGCCATGTCAACTCCACTGGTTACAGGAAGCCCAGCAGCTCAAGTCACAAGTATGAGTTGTATGCCTGGACCAGAGATTGTATATTCTGGAAAACACAATGGTATTTGCATTTACTTTTCTCGAATCGTGGGGTAAGTTTTTCATGAAATAATGATTCACCTTGTCCTTTTTGTGTAGTTTTCAACTCTAAATTTTTCAAACTCTAAATTGGGGACATCATTTATTCCTGTTAAATTTTACTTACAGTGTTAGTTCACTTGTCTATTAATTAAATGTTTTCTCTCAGTCAGCTTGTTAATTATCTAGCCATCTTCAGAATGTATCTGCCTCCATATGGCTCCAGTTCAACTTGGCAGTTCTAGTTTTGGCTAAGCTTGCTCATGCATTTGCAGTTAGCTCTGAGTTTGAAGAGAGCTCTGTCAATCTTGGCTAAACTTTTGTAAGTTTAGAGTCATGTTTGAATGCTGGTCTAGAATGGTCTCAGCTGGGACAGTTGGGTTGTTCTCCATTTGGTCTTTCATCAGCCAGCAGGAGAGCCAGTGAAATTTCACATGGTGGTAACAAGGTTCCATGAGAGAGACTTCCCTAGGTTCAGATTTGGCCTACCATCATTTCCATCATTCACTCAGCCAGGGCACTGTCTACATACAGGCCAACTCAGATTCAAAGGGTGGGAAGTAGATTCCTCACTGTGAGAGAAGCACCAAAGTCATTTGATTTTTTTTCAGTAGCATTTCATTGTGTAATTCAGGTTGGGAAATTTTTGTTTTCCATTCTTTCAGATAAGTTGGTAAAATGTTAAATGAAACCATTGTGCTTTAATAAAGGAATTTACTACATATTGTAATTGTTTTTTATTTGTCTATAGCACAATTATTAAAACATTCTTTGTTCCAGAAATATTTGGGATGCTAGTTTAGTTGTGGAGAGAGTATTCAAGAGTGGCAACAGAGAGATCACTGCAGTAAGTATGCTGTATTACATATAGTATTTCATTATTTGTATATTATGGTATTAATGGATAAGTAGATTGCTTCACATTTCTTAATGTTATAAACAAAATGCAGTGGTCATTCTTTCATGCTATGTGTTTGTGTACTTGTCCAATAAACTGTCTACTCCCTGGTTGAAGTTTTAGCTCTCCCTTGTAAACTGATAGTAAATTTATTAACATTTCAGAGTCTGATACCTCACTGTAAAATGAGAGTAATAATAATAGTATTTCTCTTTCATAAGGCTGTTGTGAGAGTTAGAGTAAGTTCTAATACTTAATATTACTCAAAGCTACTATTTAATATTTTGCTTATATGCCCAAAAACTCCATGGATCCAGTACTAATTTCCATACATTGGCAGACTCTCAAAAGTGCTTTAAGAAAATGTCTCATATAACTTCATATTATCAGCAATTCAAGTAAGTAAGATTTTGTTTTAATATGAAATATGAAAGCAATTTATTTTAAGCTTTTTTCTTTTTAAAATGAGAAGATACCAAATGTGTTTTTCACTCTGATACGTTTTAAAGTTCACATTTCTAGGAATAAGAATGTATTTACTTAGCATAGTATATGATTCCATTCATGTGAAGTTCAAAAACAGACAAAGTAACCTATAGGGAAAAGTACAGAGAAGTGGTTACCTGGGAAGTGAAATGAGTAATGACTATAAAGGGACATTAGGGAACTTTCTTGGGTGTTGGAAATATTCTGTATTTTTGTCTGGTGACTGTATTAAGATGTAGTAAGTTATTGAGATGTTCACTTAATATTTGTTTATTTTACTGCCTGTAAATTATGCTTAAACTGGAACAGGATGGGAGGGTTATGGTATCTAGCCCATTGATCTTGGTTACCAACTGTGAATTGGTATAAGAAATATTACTTTACTGTTTATGATGATAGTGTACCTCAAAGTTAAAACTTTCACTCAATTATACAGAATACACTTTTTGTATATACTTTTTTTCAGTGTTTTTGAACTTCTGAAAATACTTACTTCTTACAGATTGAAAGTAGTGTACCCTCGCAACTGCTGGAGTCAGTACTACAAGAATTAAAAGGTTTGCAAGAATTTCTAGACAGAAACTCCCAATTTGCAGGAGGACCATTAGGAAATCCAAAGTAAGGATAAATAAGATTTAATTACTCATTTTTTCCTGAGATACAATTCACATATAAAATTCATCCTTTTAGATGTTCTGTTGAGTGGGTTTAGTTTATTCACAAGGTTATACAATTACTACCTCTATCTAATTTCAGAACATTTTTGTAAACACCAGAAAGAGACCTTATATCTATTAGTAATCACTCCCTATTCGAGTTCAGGCTGCAGTAACAAAAATACCATGGACTGACTTAAATAACAGACATTTATTTCTCAGTTCTGGGGGCTGAAAGTCTGAAATCAGGCTATCAAAATCAACATGGTTGGTCTCCTTCCCCTGCTCTATGCTACTCTCCTCCTTCCAAGAAATTATCTGAAATTTTGGTTGTAAGGGTTGTTTCTTTCTTTTCTAACAGTATATTCTTCTAAAAATAGTTTCCAAGCAGTTTATTGAATTTTAGTTATAACTGCAATTATCAGTGTCCTACTATAACACTCAATGATGTTTTGAAATCTTCAATTATCTGGTCATCCTGAAGTTCATTTTGTTCTGAAAGTCTGGATAAATGGTTGCTTTTTTCTCTTTATTCACCAAATTTAAAACTTATGAATTGGTTCCTAACATCCTTCAAAGATAAGGTATTGCTTTTTTTCTTAAGTTACATCATAAATTTCTTTTTTCAATGTGCAGTTTTGAGTTTTGACAAATGCATAGCGCTGTATAACCACAACCACACCCAAGATACAGAATTCTCTTGTACCGTCTCCTGTATCCACACCCTTTTCCTACCCCTAACCCTGGCCACCACTAATCTCTTCTTCACTTCCGTAACTTGCCTTTTTAGAATGTCAGATAAGTTGATGGTGGCATCTTTTATGTAGCATAGTGCATTTGAGATTCATCCATATTGTTGCACATATCCATCCTCTAGAGAATGTCAGTCTTACTTGTTTCAGCACACAGTCTACCTAGTTAGAGTCAGACTGCAGGTTCTGTCTTTTATTCTGTTGGCAGTGACTCCAATGTAAGTTTCATTTTCAAAGCCTTTGTTATGTTCTTTGTGTCTGTCCCTCACATGAGCCTCTTGAGGTTATTCTGGGACTTAGGCAGTAGCTTATATCCGAGTTTAGTTTTTAGAGTCTTTGCTATACTTTTGGGGCATGTTTCATGGTTATACAGCTTTGTGGGGTGAGCCTGGAAGTTGTGTCAATCATACATAGAATTAGAATTAGGGGATCTCCTTTTCCAGCCTTTTCTTGCTCTGATTTCACATATCTCTACCTTCCAGGGTATCCGTTTACTAGTCCTCCTGATAGAAAGCCAGTTTTCTGTTTTTACTCCCTTATTAATCTACAGTTTTTCAGAACTGGTCATCCCTTTGGGGCAAAGCATCAAGAGAAAATAACTGATTTCCTCCAGACTTTTCAGACCCCAGGGCCCCTTTCTCCCAGCTGTTCTGTTTTTCATCCTTGCATCACAGGTGTTGTCAGCTCTGGGGCTGTCTTTTGCATTACAGGATGTCTGGGATGATCCTCGGCCTCTGCCTACTACATACCAGTACCTCACCCCAGTTGTGACAGTCAGAATGTCTCCAGACATCTCTGTATGTTCCCTGACAGTTTATTCTCCCCACGGTTTTGAGACAGTTCACCTTTTAGCGCCTAAAGATATAGGAGTAGGGGGAAAAAACCCAGTACACTCACCTCTGTATGGGCTGTCATTTGAGTTTTTACTTCCTCTCCTCAATCTGTTTGCTCTTACTGACTTTTCAGAGTCTTCAAAGTAGTTGCTTTTTGTATTCTGTCCAAGTTTTTCAGTTGTAGTCAATGAGAGAGGCTGTAGCAGGCTTCCTTCATCTTGGCTGGGGCCATCAGTTGAGGTTTTTATTTAGTAGCATGATGAATCTGTAGTTTTAAACATTCTTGATGGGTTTCAATTCATTGCCGGTTACTTTTTTTTT